CAAGTATAGTTCTAGAGCTACACTGCTGGCCTGTGGCAGAGCGAAGACAGGGTTCGTAGCGGGTCTTCCAAAGTCTTATAAGTACTTATTTTGCCAAAAATAAAATAAGGGCCCTTTTTTAGTATTAGTACTTATTTTTGGTGAAATCTTAGAAAAGTACTTAATAGTCCTTATTTTTTGCAGTATTGTTGTATATATAATACGGAATAATTAAATCTGCTGTGCAATTGTGTATATAAATATTATTAGTGTACTTTAATTGTTGGTGATCTATCAGAAGTCGCGTAAAAAAGTCTTATTTTGGCTTCCAGAAAGGGTCTTATAAGTCCTTATTTCAACATGTGTCTTACTACTATGAACCCTGTAGAAGCGAAGCAGCTGAACGAGGGCTGGGACGAGCGGACAGAGGGCGCCGCTGACATCGCCGCCATCCCCCTCCTCATGAAGAACAAGGTCCCCGAAGGATTCGAGACTGACGACCGACTCGATGTGTCCATACGGCCGGAGTCGGTGAGTGCTGTTACATCGGCCGTCGCTATCGCTGGCGGCGCCAGTCTCAGTCTGAAAACTCGGCCGGTCCCAGTTTTGCTTTCTGTTGCCTATAGTAAAATCCGTAGAAATTACCCAGTCCTCAAAAAAATACGAGTCTTGGACTGCAGGGGCGGATCCAGAGGGCTTGGGTGACCAGTTTCCATATGTTCTTCTGCAGGTAGGGGGGTTCGGGGGCATGCCCCCCCAGGAATTTTTAAAAAATTAGGCTATATTTGGTGCATTCTGGTGAATTTTGAGGCCTGTGACCGGTTTCTGGAAACCAGTGCAAACCGGCCTAAATCCGCGCCTGGACTGGAGAACGGGAAGCTATTTCCAGCACTGGCAAGTATGTGTGTGTGACATGGGGGTCGAGTTTAAATTCCTTTGGGGCAAGAACGACTTCACCCTCCGCATAGTCAGAGCGTTGTTGTGCACCACGGCAATTGGAGAGGCTTGCCACAGAGACGAACGTTCCCTTTAATGAAGGTTGTTTGACGTATCTTCCCTTCACTTTACGTTTTGTGCAATGCAAAGAGGGTTACCTACACGACATGGAATGTATGAGAGGGGCACAAAGAAAAACCATGTAAGACAATAGAGGTGTAATGATACACCTTTGCCACGATTCGATTCACGATTCGAACTAGTCAAGTTAACACCAACTAACAATGTCAACTCACTACGGACTGTGTGAGTGAGTGTGACAGACGTAAACATTAACCAATGAACAAAGTAAACAAAGTAATATTGTTATAAAATATAAAGACTACAAAGTAGTACCATGACTCCATGAGTAATTGAATACAACCCAAACTATTATCAATTGCACTTTGAACAATGAACAATTAGCAATGAGCATTGAGCAAGTTGTCAAAAAAAGGCAACCACATTAAAAACTAACGCAAATTATAAAAACTGACTAGCCATGAAGCATGAAATTATTGAAATATCAACAAGTAACAGTCTTGTTTTGCCAGCGTTCGTTTCGTGGTCGCAATGTTTACTATACAGTGAGCTGGACGCGCTGAATAAATCTCGCGCTCTGATTGGTCAAAATTCGAGCAGCAAGATATCGTTGTATTCATTGCCGTGAATCGCGGCGATTCAGATGAAAAATCGTGAATATCACGATACACGATTTATCGTTACACCTCTATAAGACAATCTTGCTGCTTATAATATTGCTGTGGGTGTCGGCCAATTTTCAGGTGCATCGTGACAAGTAAGAAAGCTCTCACGACTCTTTCACTTTCATTTAACGTTTAACTAATCGTTATGGTTAACTACTGTATACGCCATATTTTTCGCGTACAGATATTTTCGCGAATTCATACTTGACGGACAATTTCGCGAGTGGTTAATTTCGCGGTCGCGTGAATATGAATTATTCGGTATGAATTATTCGCGTGTTGTTATTTTCGCGGTCGGGCACGCGTTCGCGAAATTCGCAAAAAATTAAACCAACCCCGAAATATGCAGCTTATACAGTAATCGTTACGGTAAACTAATGAGTGTTAGCATGGCAATATGACAGTCCGTTAACCACGTCTGCAGAGTACGTGCGTTTAGGATCGTCGTTTCTTTGAGACGGCCATGATTATTCATTGCACGCTCTTGTGTTTATGCAGGCGGCGCCGGCGGACTACGACCAGGTTCCCATAGAGGAATATGGAAAGGCGATGTTGCGGGGAATGGGATGGAAGCCAGGTGAAGGCATCGGGAAAGGAAACAAACAGTGAGTGGTGTTGTCAATACCAGCGGCAGATTCTGTGCCTTCGTCTGACCTCGGCTGTACTAAGATATACTTCGCCATAGCCGGCACTGCTCGCATTGGCCACCTGGACCGAATGCTGTGTGAAAAATAACACTGCAATCAAATTACCAGTGACGTTTCAAATAGTACTGTTAAGTGCTATTCAATTTGCTGTGATATCATCGAAATATTGATTGCAAACGAAAAATGGAAATTGATCGAACGTGTTTTATCGGTGATGCGGTCAAATCCTGACAAATCGCAAATGTATAGCATCGAAACGTATGAACCTGTTACGTGCAGCTCAGTGAGTAGAGAAGTCTTAGATTTGTTAATCAACTGACACTAGATGTGCTTCTATACTTGGGTATTGACATCTATTGCCTGCATGTTCAAACAACGAACACCAGCACTAGTCATTCATAGTTATTACCTAACAAGTTTGGAATTAGTATCAAAACAAGTCCTTCTAATATTAGGTAGTAAAACTAAAGTAAAACCAGAGTAAACCTCAAAAGTAAAGTAAAACCAGAGTAAACCTCAAAAGTAAAGTAAAACCAGAGTAACCTCATAAGTAAAGTAAAACAGAGTAAACCTCAAAAGTAACATAAAACGAGAGTAAACTTAAAAAAACAAGTGTTCTAATATTAACGAACGGCAGCCGTTGACCATAGTCTCGTTTCGCGAACAGAGTGGTGCCCCCTGTTGAGGCGGTGCTCCGACCGAAGGGTATGGGACTCGGAGCCGACCGCAGGATGATCGAGAAATCTCTGAACACGAAGCCGAAGAAAAGGAAGCCAGGAGACGCGGCGGTCGCCGACGACGACGACGTGCTCCGGAAGGGATGCTGCGTCGTGGTGACGAAGGGCGTGCACCAGGATCTTTACGGCAAGGTAAACGGTGACGCGAGTTTAAGCGACGCGATGCTGGCGTTGATGGAAGCTCGCGCATTGTGCGCCGCGCGTCTGCCCTGCCGGGTGTAACAGCGATGCTGCCGAGTTGGGACCTCTGTTGTGCGGTGTGTAACGAGCCGATGTCTTCGGTTGATCACGCTGTCGTGTCGTAGTTAACGAGCGTGACTGCTGCGCGGTGAATCACTGTGTTGCGCTCGTGTTAACGAGCGATGCTGCGTGTATCACTGTGTGTGCGCTGATGTTGAACGAGCGTTGCTGCGGGTTGAGCTACTGTGTTGCTGCGTTGATGTTAACAGGCGATGCTGCGGCGTTGATCACTGTGTGTGCGGTGATGTTAACGAGCGTTGCTGCGGGTTGCATCACGTTGTGTGTGCGGATTGTTAACCGAGCCGATGCCTGCGGTAGTGAGTGATCACTGTGGCGTGCGTGATAGTTAACGAGCGCATGCTCGCGGTTGATCACTCGTGCGTGTCGTGATGTTAAGGGAGCGATGCTGCCGGGTGCATCTCTGTGTGCGCGTGATGCTTAACAGTGCGATGCTGCGGGTTGAGCTCTGTGTGCCGCAAGTGATGTTTAACGTGCGATGCTGCGGGGTTTGATCACATGTGTGTGCGTGATGTTAACCGAGCGATCTGCGGGTTGTGATCACCTGTGCGTCTGCGTGATAATTAACCAGCAGCAAGCTGCGGGTTGACTGCAGCTGTGCGGTCTGATGTTAACGAGCGATGACTGCGGGTTGCATCTCTATGTGACCGGTGATAGATAGGTACGGGTGCATCTGCGGGTTGAGCTCTGTGTGACCGTGATGCTTAAGAGAGGCGAATGCCTGCGGGAGTTATCACTGGTGTGCGCGTGATGTTTAACGAGCGAGTGCTGCGGGTTGATCACTGTTGTGTGCGTGTTGTAACGCAGCGATAGCTGCAGGGTTTGATCTCTGTCGTGCGGTGATGTTAACGAGCGAATGCTGCGGTTGATCACTGTGTGTCGGTCGTGATGTTAAGAGCGCGATGTGCTGCGGGTTGATCACTGTGGTGTGCCGTGATGTAACGACGAGCTGCGGGTTGAGGACGTTTTACACGATGCTGGGGTTGTCACTGTGTGCGGGTGATGTAACGAGCGATGCTGCGGGTTGATCACTGTGTGTGCGCGTGATGTTAACGAGCGATGCTGCGGGTTGATCCTTGTGTGCGTGTGATGTTAACGAGCGATGCTGCGGTTGATCACTGTGTGTGCGTGATGTTAACGAGCGATGCTGCGGGTTGATCACTGTCGTGCGTGATGTTAACGAGCGATGCTGCGTGAGTATGGACATGTGGAGGGCGTGGACGAGGACAACGCGAGGTTCGTCGTGAGACTTGCTCTCGGCTCTCAGGTCATCACCATCTCTCAGTTCCAAGTCAAGGTCGTCGGTCAGAAGGACTACGACAAATACTCCAAGTACATCAGTGAGTTTGTTAAGTTACTATTGCTGCATCAGGTGCGCCAAATATTACCACAAATACTCCCAAATACATCAGTGAGTTTGTTAAGTTACTCTTGCTGCATCGTGCGCCAAATATTACCACAAATACTCCCAAATACATCAGTGAGTTTGTTAAGTTACTCTTGCTGCATCGTGTGCGAAATATTACCACAAATACTCCCAAATACATCAGTGAGTTTGTTAAGTTACTCTTGCTGCATCAGGTGCCAAATATTACCACAAATACTCCCAAATACATCAGTGAGTTTGTTAAGTTACTCTTGCTGCATCAGGTGCCAAATATTACAACAATAAATCTAAGTACGTCGCATACACTTGTTCACTTGCTGTTGCTGTGTTGTGTGTCAGGGGCTATGAGAAAATACTGTACGTGCATCAATTACTTCTTATTGTAACTAATTCTGAACTAAAGTAAACCAAACCAAACCAAAATGAGTCGTACCAAACTAAATGAAACTAAACTAAACCTTTGTAACTAAACCAAACTAAACTAAACTGAGCTGGGGTTGCTGATGCATGCTTGCAGATAAAAGGAGGCGATACAAGGAGGCGAAGGAGGCAGAGAGACTGAGAAAACCCCAGGAGGAGGAGGTCAAGGGTCACGGAGAGCGGTCGTCGTCTCGTCACGGGTCAGACGACGCGCAGGGATCGCGGTCAAGTTCAAACGGAGACGCTGGGTCGCAAAAACGAAAGCACGACGATAGAGACAGGTACGCGGCGCCCTCCGGTGGACGATTCTGTCGATTTTGCGACGTGCGCTTATTCAGCATCCAGTCTGCGTTCTTTCCTTCGGATACGCTTGTACAGTCTCGAGGCAGCTTACTTTCACATTGGACCAGAATGCGGAATGATGCTGCTGTTTCCAACAGTGGCTCTTCAGTTGTCTCGGCTACAGTAACTAAAGCTGGGTTTACACCACCGACTTTATGTTGTCAAATTGGCGAGTTGGACCAATCTCGCAATTCAGCAACTCCGAGTTGGCGAAAATAGAACATTTTCTAATCTCTCAACTAGTTGCTATCGACTAGTTGCTCGCGCGACTTTCGCGTTTACACTGCCGATTGTCGGTTGTAACGTTGGGAATTTGCTCCAATTCACAAATTCGCCAACACAAAGTCGGTAGTGTAAACCCAGCTTAACGCTCCACGCTTGCATTCGGTTCCCACACAGAAAGGAGGCGTCTCACTCACGCAGCAGAAATCCCTCCTGGCTCCATCCACAGATCAGAGTGAGGTTCATAGACAAGCAGTACCAGAAGGGAAAGTTCTACAACACGAAGGTAGGTGGCGCTAGCAGCGTAGCCACGTGTATCAAGGCCAGTGTAGACGAGCGGATAGTCGGTCCGTGCGAACGGACTTTAGCCTTTTGTGAACAAACATGTAAGCATGGTTGAGATTTCTATAATGTAAAGTAGTGCACATTTTTACAAGAATATATATATATATATATATATATATATATATATATATATATAGTAGTAC